GAAGGTGACCTCCCCTCCAGGTCGCTGTGACACCCCATGTGTGCTCTCCTGCTGCTCTGGGCTCCTCTTGGCACTGAAACACCACCAACATTGGCCACCCCACCAGCACCTACAGCCACTGACAGCCAGGGACAGACGGTGTCTGCTGGGGATGGAAACACCTGCAGGGAGAGGACAAGCACAAGGGGATGCCTTCAGCAGGGACCTGAAGGCCTGTGGGTCACTGGTTCTACCTGAACAGAGAGACCCTGCTAAAGTCCCAGATCCTTGTGCAGACCCAAGGAAACTGCCAGGGTTGATCACAGAATTTCCTGAGCTGGAAAGGACCCACAAGGACCATCAAAGTCCAGCTCCTGGCCCTGCCCAGGACACCCCAACAATGCCACCACGTGCCTGATCCTGCAGTGAAAACCCTTGTGATTTTTACCCTGTTTCTCCAGGGCAGTCACAGCGATTCATGGGTGTCATCAGGCATTTCATTTCCCTTCTTTTACTTCTGGGTGTGTTACTCAACCTCTAGAGTTCAAGACCTCCAGGTCTCTGTTCTCCTCCTCTCTAGGCCGTGCAGGTTTCCTGAGGCTGTGGCCAGCAGGTATAAATACACAGATCCTCCAGGAGAGCAGTTCATATAGGGAAAGGAGGAATTAATCACAGGTTACTACGATTAGCGTGACTAATCCGTGACTCTGGAGCCCCAGCAGAGCCACACAGGTCCCCAGAGCAGCACAAACACTGCTCAGCGTGGCTTCAGCACGTGGCACTCGCAGCAGCAGGAGGGAGGGAGAGCGTGGTGCTGCTCTGGGTGTGGGAATACTGGAGTTCCCCTCGTCCAGGGCTGGGGAGAGGAGGATGAAGCTCAGCCTGGGCAGTTCTGCCCATGCAGGAGTTCCTGCAGCTGGAGCAGCAGGTTCCCACCTGAGGGATGTGTCCCCCAGGAAGGCTGAGGGGTCCAGGTGGGCACAGTCCAGTGAGATGAGTGGGTGATCATGGACTGCTGGAGGGGAGATGTTTGAGACTTGCTTGGGTTATGGGACAGCAATCTCCAGGCTCAAACCATCCCTGGGTGGTTCTTGGCTGTGCTGAAGGACATCAGGTGGGCTTGGCCTCCTGCCAGTGAAGTTATCTCCTGTCAGAATGGTCACTGAGGGCCATTCCTGTCATCCTGTGGTCCATGATGCCTGTTTTTTTTGGGACAGCTTGGGGTTGGTGCTTGGAGAGCCCTGGCTGAGGATGTTCAGAGGTAGGGACGTGCTCCACTACATCCAGGCATGGTTGTATCAGTGTAACATTCACACTGTCTTGAGCAATGAGTTAATGAACCAGCACAAAAGCAGTTGCCAGGCCAACCCAAAGCCAAACGTGTTCGTCTGGGAGATGCAGCCTGACAGCATTTTAGGAGAAGTGGGTCTTGAGCAAACCTCACTGTGGATTTCTGTGCTCCGGCTCTCCGGAGCTGCTCAGGGATTTGGGATCCCAAAACGTGTGGAGAGGGAAAGGCCCATGGCTGGGAGCACTCATCTCTTGTAGGACTTTGGGCAATCCATGCCCACAGAGCAGCTCCATCTCCCTGTCCCACATCAGGCCCTGGTGAGGTCCGAGGGTGTGGCAGCAAAGGAGCATTTCTGAGCAGCAGGAGTTTGGTCTCACTGCTCCAGGAGGGAAGGGCTTGGCCATCACTGCTGGTGTGGGACAGGCTGGGGCCAGCACTAAAGCTGGAATGTCCCTGGCTGCAGCATCCCCCACTGGCCTGGTGTCCCAGGGTGGGGTGGAGGCCAGGACAAGGCTTTACTGCTTCCACCAGGGCTGCTCATCAGCTTCCAGGCTCATTCTGAAGCGGGATAATGGACTTGGGGCATCCCAAAATGGGTCCATCTCAGCACAGGCCGTGCTTGGGCACAGCTTAGTTGGTGTGGCCACCAGCCATGGAGGGGATGCTCCCTCTTCCCCCTGGTCCAGTTGCTGTTTCCATGCCCGAGCAGGACAAGGCAGGGCTGGAGAAAGGCTGCCCAGGCAGCTCAGTGTAAATAACCTGGGCTAAGCCTCTCGGAGGGAGGGATGGGCTCAGCTCCTACTAGGCCACCGTGTCACCAGCTTGTGGCCCTGCTAGGACACGATGCAGTGGGTCATTTCCATGGCATGTGTCACCCCAAGGACAGGTCTCACTGCAGGGGGTGGGTCCCGTGAAGATGTGGTGGGGCTCAAACGTGTCACCTGCATGGTCAGAGTGAAACTTTTAGGGCCATGTTGCTCCAGGGGTTCTCCATCCCACAGGGGAATTGTCCTGCCCTATCCATAGGCTCTGCTGTTGGAGGAGGGGTGCAGAGCTGTCTGTGTGGTCTGTTCTTGGTAGAAATTGGAATTAAAGTTCTTCCAGCCTGAAGGAATAGATGTGACGTGGTGGGTCCAGACAAGCCCAGTGTTGGAGGCGCTGCATGAGTTGCTCGTAGTATTTTTTATTCCTAAAACGTGGTTTCATCTCCAAGATGAAAAGCTTGGCTGTGAAAAGCTTGACTGTGAACATCACCAACTGATGCTGGAGCCAAACAACTCTTTGGGGACCATTTGGGGACATGGGTGGCAACATCTGACCCACTGATGAGGAATGTGAGGGCACCACTTGCTGGGAGGTGGCCTGGAGTGACTTGGGGACCTCAGGGAATGGAGGAGCTGCCAAATCCCCTGGGAATCCAGACCACTCTTCCCTAAGCTGGGGGTTTGATGGCTGCTGCAAGGACACCCAGGAGGGGAAGCTCATGGCCCTGTGTCCTCCAGGTGTGACAGTCATCTCCAGTCTGTGCCCTTGGGCAGGGCCCTGGAGCCTCTTTGGAGGATGCTCTGTGGATCTTCCCCTTTCCCAGCTCTGCCTGGGCTCTGAGCTGCCTCTGGCAGCCAAATCTGACCCAAGGTGGAGGCAGGAGAGGACATCAGTGGAGGGAACAGCTGTGCCTGGGGGCCCATCTCTGACCAGGGTGTGAACACTCTGAAACCACAAAGCTCAGAGCAGTCACCCTCTGAGGCACCCAGTTCCTGCTCTGGGAGGCCCATCTTGGTGCCAGGATGGGGCTGGGGGACAGGACAGCACTTTTTGCAGCCAGGCAGGTGCTCCCCCCGAGCATCCTCCATCCAGCTCAGCCCATCCACGGGCAGAAGGGACACAGCATTCCCACAAAGCCAGGCACTGGGGACAAAATGTCCCCTGCAGCGAGGACAAGCTCAGGAGTGGCTGAGGCAGCAATTTGGGAGCCCTTTTTGGGCTTCCCTACCCTGGGCCCCCCATCCCTCCTTCTCCACAGCAAGTGGAGGGTGCTGAGAGCACCCCAGGACCAACTCATGGGAGCCTTTGCTCCGACAGCACCTTCCCCTGGGCCCCAGGACGCTCCTTACCTCCTTCCTTCCTCCCTTCCTTCCTCCCAGCCCTGGATCAGGGCAGCACTCTCATCACAGGGGCAGGATCTCTTCCTGAAAAGGGATTTTCTTCCTGCCTGCTGCTTCTTCCCGCCCCTTTCCCAGCTGGGATCTCTGCCTGGCACATGGTGCCCCACCCTGGCCCCCCGTGCTTTGCTGGGATCAGGGCTGGGGGGTGGGATGGGGCCTTGTAAACAGCACTGTTATTGCTGGATCCTTGCTCTGGGGAAGGAGCCAAACGTGAGTAATGGAGGGGAGGGCAGGGATGCCAGCACATCCCTCCTTCCCAGCCACGCTGCTGTGCCAGCCAGGCACCAGGGAGCAGGACAGGGATGCACAGGCAGCCCTCACTGCCAGCTCCTGCCTGTGGCAAGGACAATTCCTGGTTCACTTGTTTGCTGTGTGGGCGACTGAATCTAGGTGGGCTTTGCCCAGCTCAGGTACCCAGTTACCCTCCATCCCCCCTTTCCCAGCCTGGAGCTGCCCTGCACCCCCTTTGCCCCTGGAGAGTGACCAAGGGCAGGCAGGACCCCAAATTCAAGGCCCTTCTGGGGCTCCCCTGAGGCGGATGGTGCTGGGAAGGAGGTGGATGTGCAGTGGGAGGAATGGCTGCTCCCAGGTTTTCCAGCAGGACAGACAGACAGAGATGCTCACAGGCTCCTGTTTTATCCCTGCTGGCACCGGTGCTGGGCTTTACCCTGGGGGTGACTCTCACAGGAAGGGTCCCAAGGCTGGCAGGGTGGCACCTTCAGCAGGGGATGCCCATGCCTCTGTTTTCTAATTTAGAAACATTTTTAATTGGGTTTTAATTGGGCATTTCCATCCCTGTCCTGAGACCGGGGGTGGGGTCAGAGCAAAACCCTCCGGGGATGGAATCCAGGGAGAAGCTTTGCACAGGGACATGGGGCAGACTCTTTTCCTCAGGCTCAGCTGGGCATTCCCTGGCACATCCCTGCTCTGTGAGGGGTGATGGTTCCCACACCAGGGTCAAAGGGGACATTCAGGGTTTGGGGGGCACCTCACATCCCCCAAAACAGATGTTTAGGCAGCACGTGTGTCTTGGCAGGAGGGCAAGGCTTAAAACCCCCTTCCTGCAACTCAGCCCCAAAGGTGGCATCCCCATCCCTCTGCCAGGGCCCCCTTGTGTTGCCTGAACCCCCACCCCATGGGGAGCAGCCCTGAGGGGTCCCTGAGGGGTCCCTGAGGGGTCCCTGCTGTCCCAGCTGGTTGCATAAGCCCGGCAGCTGCGGGAGGTGAAATGGGATTGTGAGGGATTACAAGGAACAGGCTCAGGCTGCTTGATTCTTGTTTCTAAAAGGAGCTCTTAAGCTGCTGTTGTTTTCCTGGCACTTTGGATTAGGGCTGAGACATGTGGGGTGGCCCCCAGGCTCCCCAGAGGGACCCCCAGACCCACCAGCTTGGGCTCCATCTGTTCGTGCCAAGCATGAGAGGAAAACAGGGCTGTGGGGAGACTGCCCCTCCCTGGGTACCCCAAAACTACCCCCATCCCCTCCCCACAGCCCCAGTTAAGGCACTGGGGCACTGGGGCTCACTCCCCATGTTCCCAGTTAAGGCACTGGGGGACTAAGGCTCACTCTCCACATCCCCAGTTAAGGCACTGGGGCTCATGGTGGGGGGTTTTGGTGCCTCTGGCACAGCCCCCCCTGCTGCTGCTGACCCCTGGGGTGCCCCAGGGTGGAAGCTGGGGTGCTCACCCTTCCCCATATTCCCTTTTCTTCCAGAGATTATGCACGATGTGATCCGGAAAGTGAAGAAGAAGGGGGAATGGAAGGTGAGCACCAAACCTTGGGTGGGGCAGGAGAGGAGGAGGAGGGTGGGAGGGAGGAAGCAGGTGTAGGCAGGTAGTTCCCCAGGGTGGGGAAGGGCAGCCCATGCCATGCCCCCCACTCACAGCCCCTCTCCCCAGGTGCTGGTGGTGGACCAGCTCAGCATGCGGATGCTCTCCTCCTGCTGCAAGATGACAGACATCATGACAGAGGGCATAACCAGTGAGTACCAGCTCCCTGCAGCCCACAAACCTCCCTGTGGCAAGGGCAGAACCTCCTTCTGTACCAGAGGCATCTCCAGGCTGGCACAAGGCAAGAGGGCACAGCCCCCACCCAGCCCTACCCCACTTGGGATGGAGCCACCACAACTCCCATGGCTCGTGGGCAGCTCTTGGTGCCAGGCTGGTGTTCCACAGGTCCCTCCTTGCCTGCTGGGGCTGGAGCAGCCAGAACACCCTGTCTCCTGGCAGGGCCTCAATCCAAGGAGGAGACCAGGTGGTGTTTTATGTCAGCCCTGTAAATAAATAGCTCCCTGCAACGCTCAGAAAGGAGAAGGAAACCCCAGGCTGGGCACTTGGAGGTGTTGGGGGCCCAGCTTGGGTAGAGCCACAGCATCACCCCCAGGTGGTTTCCCCTGGCAGGGAATGTGAGGATAAACCAAGGGAACAGCAGCATGGGAGCACAGACAGATCAGTGGCCCCTGGGACCTGGCCAGGTGCCCACACACACAGCAGGGACCATGGAGCAGGGATGGGGTGGGTGCATCTCCTGAGTGGGCTGGGGTGAGTGCCAGGGCATGTTTTGGACATGGAGGGGTTGACAGGGCTGGCCCTGTGCTGCCATGGGATATCCAACAACCCTGATATTCCCTGTGCTACCATGGGATATCCAACAACTCCCACATCCCCTGTGCTGCCATGGGATATCCAACAACTCCCACATCCCCTGTGCTGCCATGGGATATCCAACAACCCTGACATCCCCTGTGCTGCCATGGGATATCCAAAAACCTCCACATCCCCTGTGCTGCCATGGGATATCCAACAACCCCCACATCTCCTGTGCTGCCATGGGATATCCAACAACCATGGGGTATCCAGGTGCCCCTGCCCACACTGATCCCTGCCACCATCCCTGTTTTCCCCCCAGTTGTGGAAGACATCAACAAGCGCCGGGAGCCGCTGCCCAGCCTGGAGGCCGTTTATCTCATCACCCCCTCGGAGAAGGTGAGGACACAGGGTGGGGTGCAGGGAATTTGGCAAGGATGAGGTGGTGGGATGTCCGTGCTGGGATGGGCAGCTGTGCCCACAGGAAGCATCCTGGCTCCAGCGAGGCCAGTGGTGCCTCTGGCACAGTGGGATGGAGGTGCAGAGCTCCCCCTGTGCCAGGAGGGAGGACGCTGGGTGATGCTGCTGAGATGCCCAGGGTACCACCCTGCCCAGCCCAGCTGATCCCTCTCTCTTCCAGTCCATCCACTCCCTCATCAACGACTTCAAGGATCCCCCCACCTCCAAGTACAGAGCTGCCCACGTCTTCTTCACTGACTGTGAGTACCCAGAGCAGGGGGAAAGTCATTAACAGGGTGCAAGCAAGCAGGGAGGGAGGGAGGAGGATGGAGGGATAGAGGATGGAGGGGAGGAGGATGGAGGGAGGGAGGGAGGGAGGATGGGGGGGAGGAAGGATGGAGGGAGGGAAGGAGGAATGGAAGGAGGGAGGGATGGCTGGGGATGAAGGGAGGGGAGAGAGAGGGAGAGGAGGATGAGGGAGGGAGGGGAGGATGGAGGGAGGAAGGGAGGCTGGAGGGAAGGAGGCTGGAGGGAAGGAGGATGGAGGGATGGAGGAGGGAGGGAGAATGGAGGGAGAGAGGAAGGAGAGAGGGAGGGATAATGGAGGGGAGGAGGATGGAGGGGAGGAGGATGGAGGGAAGGAGGATGGAGGAATGGAGGAGGGAGGATGGAGGGATGCTGAGCTCTGCCCTCCTCCTCCTCCCCTCCCAGCCTGCCCCGACGCCCTGTTCAACGAGCTGGTGAAGTCCCGCGCCGCCAAGGTCATCAAAACCCTGACGGAGATCAACATTGCCTTCCTCCCCTCCGAGTCCCAGGTGAGGCCGGGCTGGGCACTGTCCCCACTGGGGTGCTGCAGGGGATGGCACTGCCAGGGGGTGCTCTGGGTCCTTCCCCAGCCCGTGGGGGTTTGTGTAACAGCTCTGCATCCCGGGCTGGCTCCCCGGCCCGCTCAACCCTTCCTCCCTGTCTCCTGTGATTACTTCCCGGGCTGATCCACCCGCAGGGGATTTGGCTGGTGCCCTGCCTTGGCCCCGTGCCAGCAGCTGCTGTTGGCCAGCTCTGCCTCCCCACCAGCCAAGGGCACCAGGGAGCTGGCCCCGTGCCATGTGCCCCAGCTGGGCACAGGGGGGTTCAGGGGGACAGTGGTGCCAGACCCACTCGGTGCCAGCAGCCCTTCAATCCTCAGCATTTCTGGGCAGTGGCATCTCCTGGCATCTCCATGTGCGGCCAAATTGGCTTCTGGGGGCACAACTGGGGAGCAGTGTGTCCCTGCCACCCCTGGGTCTCTGATTCCCTGCCTGGGAGCAGGTGACTGCTGTGGGTAGGGGGTCTCCTGCCCTGCTGTGCTCACCTGGGGGGTACACATGGAGCTGGAGCTGGGGTCCAGGGAGCCCATCAGGGTAGGGACTGTGCCATGGAGCTGGAGCTGGGGAAGGCATCAGGGCCCAGAGCTGGCAGCTGAAAGCCTGAGGGATGCCCTGAGCAACACTGAGCTCTGGCTGCCCTGTCTCAAGCTCAGCTGGGACCTTTATCTGGGCATGAATCTGGTTCCCAAACCCACCCAGGGCTGCTCTCCTCCAGACACCCCCTGTGATCTCCCTCCCACCCCCCCAGGTTTACTCCCTGGATTCAGCTGACTCCTTCCAGAGCTTTTACAGCCCCCACAAGGCGCAGATGAAGAACCCGATCCTGGAGCGGCTGGCGGAAGCAGATCGCCACGCTCTGTGCCACGCTCAAGGAGTACCCAGCAGTGCGGTACCGGGGGTAAGGGCGGCGTGGGGGCACCCCTGGCACCTGCCCCGCTGCCCCAGCAGCACCAGAGAGCCGGGGGTGTGCCCAGCACGGGGCAGGGGTGAGGCCGTGCTGTGCCCGGTGCTGCTCCGGGCGTGGGGGTGGTGGGACAGACAGACAGACGTCTGTGCTCAGGGGGAACAGGCTCAGGGTTGGTGCTCTGCAGAGCTGGGGGTGTTGGGACTTAAGTGGTGCCACGGCAAAGTGGAGCTCAGCAGGGAGAGGTGGGAATGGGCAACCAAACCTGCTCAGGTCCCTCTCCCACGAGCCAAGGGAAGGCGATGTCGCCTCCCCATGCCATGCCCTGGGGAGCTGACCTGTGCCCCTGCCTCCCCCAGGGATTACAAGGACAATGCCATGCTGGCACAGCTCATCCAGGACAAGCTGGATGCCTACAAGGCTGATGACCCCACCATGGGCGAGGTGAGTGGGGATGGTGCCCCAGGGGAGGGTGTGGGGGGGATGCTTCGCTCCTGAAGTCCCACTCAAGCTCTGCCCCAGGGCAGTCACAGACCCCAAGCAGGGACCCCAGAACAGCCACAGCTTCTCCTGAGGACCTGTGGGGCTGGTGGAACCCTCAGGCTCAGTGTTGACAGCTCCCCTGGCTCCACAGGGTCCAGACAAGGCTCGCTCCCAGCTCCTCATCCTGGACCGTGGCTTCGATCCCGCTTCCCCGGTGCTGCACGAGCTGACCTTCCAGGCCATGAGCTACGACCTGCTGCCCATCGAGAACGATGTCTACAAGTGAGTGCAGCTCTGCCATCCCCTCCACCCCCGTGGGCCCCCCAGTCCAGCCCTCCAGCAGGGGTTGGAAGCTCAGCATCCCTCCGTCCATCACGAGTCATCTGTTGGGAGCCACCGGTCCTGCCTGCAGTCTGGCACATGGGATGGGCAGGACTGGGGCAAAAGGGGCTTTTCCAGCCATCAGCCCTTGGCCCCTTCCCAGCATTTAGTAGGTGAAGGGGTACAAGAAGGTGAGAGTTGCAATAACTTCACCTTGCTGCTGGCAGAGCCAGGAAGAGCCCCAGTGTCCCCCCAGGGCCCCCCATGTCCCCCCATTTCCCTAAGCCCAGGCAGTGAGGGGGCTGTGTGCCCCCTCAGCCCCATTCCCACCATGATGATTCCCACCCTTTTCCCAGGTATGAGACAAGTGGCATTGGAGAGGCCCGGATTAAGGAGGTTCTCCTGGATGAGGATGACGACCTGTGGGTCACCCTGCGCCACAAACACATCGCTGAGGTGTCCCAGTGAGTGTCCCCTTGGGCTGTTTGCCATCTGGGTGGGACATTGGCTTGGCATTGCCACCCACCCCTCTGTTAGGGTCCCCTCCTTGCTCACAGCTCTGCCCTCCCCCTCTCCCCAGGGAGGTGACCCGGTCCCTCAAGGAGTTTTCTTCAAGCAAGAGGATGAACACGGGTGATAAGGTGACCTGGCTGCATCTACCAAGTCAGGGATGGGCATCCAGGGGCCTCAGCCATGGGCTGGCACATGGTGGAGTCCTCCTGGGGCCCAGTGGGCAATCTTCTGCAAAGGACAAGGGTTGCTTCAAGGTCCCTGATGGGGGGAGATGGCTGTGGGGTGTAAGCCTACAACCCAAGGGCTGGGAAATGGGGTTCCCTTTGGGAGGGCACCACCACCAACAGGGATCAGTTTTGCCCCAGCCCAAGGCTCCGTGTACCTCCCACAAGCAAGCTGCCTGTGTCCCCAGGCTGTTCCCTTGCAGAGCCCATCTGAGCTGGGTGGCAGTGAGGGGACCCAGGGTGGAAATGGGATGTCAAGTGCCCAGGAGCTGAAAAGGACATCTCAGCCCAGCCAGGCACAGGGTGGGCCCAGGGGAAGGTCCTTGGGGATTTGTCCCCCTTGACACTGGGCAAGTTTCACCAGAGCTGCAGGACCCCCCCTGCCCCTTCAGCTGCAGCCAAGGAGACCTGGCAGTGACACATCAGGTGTCACCAAACCCTCGTGAGGGGATCACATGGGCACAGAAGTCCTTGGTGGGGTCATCCCCTCTCTGCCCACGGCCCCTGAGTCCCCAAGGGAGAGTGACCACCTCCCCTTCCCTCGCAGACCACCATGAGAGACCTGTCCCAGATGCTGAAGAAGATGCCCCAGTACCAAAAGGAGCTCAGCAAGGTATGAGGAGGGGGGATTGTGTTTGGTGACTGGGCCCACCCGGGCAGCACTCCCTGGAGTGTCCCTGGCCATGGGTGGTGGCACAGGGACCTTTGGCTGCTGCCAGCACTGCAAGGGTGGCCCCTCGTATCTCCCCAGTACTCCACCCACCTGCACCTGGCTGAGGACTGCATGAAGCACTACCAGGGCACTGTGGACAAGCTCTGCAGAGTCGAGCAGGTACCAAACCAGCCCCCCCAGCCCCACATCCCCCCTGGCAGCACCGTCCTGGCAGGGTGGAGGGGGGATGAGCACGTGTGTTCTCTGCAGGACCTGGCCATGGGCACTGATGCCGAGGGTGAGAAGATCAAGGACCCCATGAGGGCCATCGTGCCCATCCTGCTGGATGGGAATGTCAGCACCTATGACAAGATCCGCATCATCCTGCTCTACATCTTCCTGAAGAACGGTGAGGGCACCTGGGCAGGGCTGGGTGCTGGCAGCTCCCAGGTTTGGCCAGGATAAGCCAGGTGGAAAAGCCCAGCCCTGCCTCCCTGAGCAGCACCAGGCTGGGTGTCCTAGGACAGCAGTGGAGGGGCTGTATCCCCATGGAAGGGCTGTATAAACCTATGGAAGGGGCCTGTATCCCCGTGGAGGGGCTGTATCCCCATTGGAAGGGCTGTACTCCATGGGAGGGCTTGGTACCCCATGGAAGGGCTGTATCCCCATGGAGGGGCTGTACCCTGTGGAGGGGCTGTATCCCCATGGAAGGGCTGTATCCCTGTGGAGGGGCTGTATCCCTGTGGAGGGGCTGTATCCCTATGGAGGGGCTGTTCCCCATGGAAGGGCTGTACCCCATGGAGGGGCTGTATCCCCACTGGAAGGGCTGTATCCCTGTGGAGGGGCTGTACCCTATGGAAGGGCTGTACCCCCATGGAAGGGCTGTATCCCTGTGGAGGGGCTGTACCCTATGGAAGGGCTGTACCCCCATGGAAGGGCTGTACCCCATGGAGGGGCTGTACCCCATGGAAGGGCTGTATCCCCATGGAGGGGCTGTACCCCATGGAAGGGCTGTATCCCCATGGAGGGGCTGTATCCCCATAGAAGGGCTGTATCCCTGTGGAGGTGCTGTACCCCACAGAAGGGCTGTACCCCATGGAGGGGCTGTACCCCATGGAAGGGCTGTACCCCATGGAGGGGCTGTATCCCTGTGGAGGTGCTGTACCCCACAGAAGGGCTGTATCCCCATGGAGGGGCTGTATACCCATGGAAGAGCTGTACCCCCTGGAGGGGCTGTACCCCCTGGAGGGGCTGTACCCCATGGAGGGGGTGTATCCCATGGAGGGGCTGTACCCCATGGAAGGGCTGTATCCCCATGGAAGGGCTGTATCCCTGTGGAGGTGCTGTACCCCACAGAAGGGCTGTACCCCATGGAGGGGCTGTACCCCATGGAGGTGCTGTACCCCATGGAAGGGCTGTATCCCTGTGGAGGGAATTCCTCAGGACACCATGTCCCCGTTGCACTTGCAGGTATCACCGAGGAGAACCTGAACAAGCTGATCCAGCACGCCCAGATCCCAGCAGAGGACAGTGAGATCATCACCAACATGGCCCACCTCGGGGTGCCCATCATCACAGACGTGAGTGTGCCCGCTGTGTGCTCCCGCTGCCCTCTGGGAGGGAGGCAGGACCCTGGCTCTGTTCTGGGAGCCACAACCCCCCCCGGGATGCCCCTGGCACCCCTCTGGGTGGCCCCCCTGCCGCAGCCCCCGTGTCTCAGGGTGTCCCTGTGCTCCCTGTGCCCAGTCCACCCTGCGCCGCCGGAGCAAGCCCGAGCGGAAGGAGCGGATCAGCGAGCAGACCTACCAGCTCTCCCGATGGACCCCCGTGATCAAGGACATCATGGAGGTGAGCCAGCAGGGACAGGGCTGAGGGGGCAGAGCAGGGACCCCGGGTCCACCCAGGAAGGGACCTGCAGAGAGCTGGCTGCTCTTAGCCAAACCCTGACACCTCTCCCTGGCACGGGCCCTCCAGGCTGGGATTGGAATATTTGGGGGGGCTTTCCTGGCCTCAGTGAGCATGCTGGCCCCAGGTAGGATGTATGGCTTGCATGGCATCCCTGCAGCACAAAATGCAGTAACAGACTGGTTGGCTGTGTGTGTGTGCCACCTGTGTGTGCCACCGTGGGCACGGCTGGGTGGCCTCATCACAGCCTTGCCCATGTCCCAGCTGACCCAGGGCACAGGGATGGCTCTGCACAGCTGTGCCTGTACCCACAGGAGCTATCCCAGGAGCTCTGTGCTCGGGTAGCCCTGAGCAAAGCCAAAAAGTGAGTTTTTCCAGACATTGCTTTTTTCTGAACCCGCCTCCCTCCCTACACCCCTCAAATCAGGGTGTCCTCCTTGGTTCTGTGCAGAAGGCTGGGGGGGATCCAGGCACCAAAACCAGTCCCTCCCAAACCACAGACATTTCACCTGCTCAGACAGACAGACCGACCCCCGGAGCCACATTTTGGGGAGGGGATATCAGTGCTGCCTCTGCCCCAGGCCAACTGAGACCAAGCAGAGCCTCAGCTCCCTTTGATTTCCCAAAACCACAGAGCTCGTGCTTTCCCTTTGTCACAACCTCCTGGGGGTGGCTTCATACCCAGGACAACCCCTAAAACCTCAATCCCCCAGGGCCAGATGGGTCCCTTGCCCAGGGCAGAGCACCTCAGCCAAGGTTCATGGGTGCATTAACCCCCAGCCACTGGTAAAGCAGCAAGGGGAGGGACACAGGGGAAGAACCTCTGCAGCTCATCATGCCCCTGAGCTTCCCAGGAGGGGAAATCCCTGGCACAGCCTCCCCTGAGGGGCTTCTGGGCCAGAGGCTGTGCCTTGGGCCTCCCTGAACTGACCTCCGAGTTCAATTGCCTCTCTGCCACAAGGATGCCCATCGATGACAACTGGACACCAAGCACTACCCGTACATCCCACCATCCTCTCCGCCTCCTTCAGCAACCATGCCGTCCAGGTTGGGTCCCCTCAATCCTCCCCTGGGCATCCTCACCTGGGTCAGGGTCCCCTCATCCTCCCCTGGGCATCCTCACCTGGGTCAGGGTCTCCTCATCCTCCCCTGGGCATCCTCACCTGGGTCAGGGTCCCCTCATCCTCCCCTGGGCATCCTCACCTGGGTCAGGGTCCCCCCGTCCTCCCCTGGGCATCCTCACCTGGATCAGGCTCTCCCCATCCTCCCTTGGGCATCCTCACCTGGATCAGGCTCCCCCTGTCCTCCCCAGTGCATCCTCACCAGGATCACCATCAGCATCCCTCCCTCCTGGCCCCAGGGGCTGGATCCAGCAGCAGGTCTGTGAGCTCCTCTGTGCTCATTCGGGCATCCAGTAGCTCAGTTTGCCCTCAGGCATCCCATTCCTCAGTTTCCCTTTCAGGAAAACTGGAATCCAATGCTTCCATTTCCCTTCAGGAATCCCATACCTCAGTTTCCCTTCAGGAAAACTGGAATCCCATGCCTCCATTTCCCTTCAGGCGTCTCGTGCCTCAGTTTCCCTCCAGACATGCCATTTCTCAACTTCCCTGCAGACATCCCATTCCTTGTTTTCCCTCCAGCCACCCTGTGCCTGATTTTCCCTTCAGGCATCCTGTATCTCAATTTCCCTGCAGCCATCCCATTCCTCAGTTTCCCTGCAGACATCCCATTCCTCAGCTTCCTTCCAGACATCCCATTCCTTGGCTTCCCTCCAGCCATCCCATTCCTCAATTTCCTGCAGCCATCCCATTCCTCCATTTGCCTGCAGACATCCCATTCCTCAATTTCCCTGCAGACATCCCATTCCTCAGCTTTCCTGCAGCCATCCCATTTCTCAGTTTCCTTCCAGACATCCCATTCCTCAATTTCTTGCAGCCATCCCATTCCTCCACTTCCCTCCAGACATCTCATTCCACAGCTTCCTTCCAGACATCTCATTCCTCAGCTTCCCTGCAGACATCCCATTCCTTGTTTTCCCTCCAGCCACCCCATGCCTGATTTCCCCTTCAGGCATCCTATATCTCAGCTTCCCTCCAGCCATCCCATTCCTCAATTTCCCTCCAGCCATCTCATTCCTCAGCTTCCCTCCAGCCATCCCATTCCTCCATTTCCCTCCAGCCATCCCATTCCTCAATTTCCTCCCAGACATCCCATTCCTCAGCTTCCCTTCAGACATCCCATTCCTTGTTTTCCCTCCAGCCACCCCTGGAGGGGGTTTCCCCTTCAGGCATCCTATATCTCAGCTTCCCTCCAGACATCCCATTTCTCAATTTCCCTCCAGACATCCCATTCCTTGGCTTCCCTGCAGACATCCCATTCCTCCATTTCCCTGCAGACATCCCATTCCTCAATTTCCCTCCAGCCATCCCATTCCTCAATTTCCCTCCAGCCATCCCATGCCTCACTTTCCCATCCCGTAACCCCGACCGCGCTCCTCCTGCCCCACCTGGGAGCAAACCAGCTCGTTCTTTAGCCAAGAGGTGCTGCCTCGTGGCCTCCTTCACCCTCCTCTTCCTCCCTCAGTGCCCGCTACGGCCACTGGCACAAGAACAAGGCTCCCGGCGAGTACCGCAGCGGGCCCCGCCTCATCATCTTCATCCTGGGCGGGGTGAGCATGAACGAGATGCGCTGCGCCTACGAGGTGACACAAGCCAGCGGCAAGTGGGAGGTGCTAATAGGTGAGTGGGGACCCCCCGGGCCCACCCCTGGGTGCTGCCTGTGCTCATCCCACGCTCCATCCCGCCGGTTCCCGGCTCCAGACGTCTGCGGGAGCCGGGACTCGCCGGAAGGGTTTTCTCCTCGTCGCTCCCACCCGGGTTGCGTCACTCCACCCATCCTCATCTGGGCTCCCTGGTTTTTTCGTCTCCCTGGTTGGTTTGGCCTGAGCAGGGCTGGGTGAGGGGGAAGGAGGTTTTGGCAGCTCCTGTTGCACCTGTGTTGCTCGTTCTCGGGGTCGTTAGAGGAAGGAAAAAGCAAACCGCGAGTTGTGCAAATGGGAGATGTGTTTTCCTGTTGGGCAGGACAAGGTCTCACGGGTGGCATTTACCCCAGCAGCGGGTCCCTCACCCCAGGCAGGGATCAGAGGGGTGAAACCTCCAGCTCAGCTCATGCCCCTGAGCTTCCCAGGAGGGGAATCCTGGGCACAACCCTCCTGAGGGGCTCTGGGCAACAGGACATTTGTGTGCTCAGTCTCAGCATCCCAGAGGAGCCGTGGGTCAGGCAGAGAGGACACAGTGGAAGCTCTACCAGGTGTTAACAAAGAGCTTTTAGGTGCCCTAAAATTCCTCTGGGAAGCAAGGCTTGGATACACACCTTGTAGGGCAGGGGCAGGTTCCCCTCAGCGTCTCATCCAGATTCCTGGTCCCTGGATTCTTGCCCAGGATGGCTGGAGGAGCCTGTTGTTGGCATCTCATCTGCTCCTTGGGAGCAGCATCCCATCTCCGTGACCTCCTGCTGCCCGTGGATGTGTCCCCCTGTCACTGGACACCCATCCCAGCTCCATCCCATCCCATCCCGCCTCTCTCCGGGGACCATCCCCTGCATGTTCCTCTGGGTCCACCCGGGTCCTTCCTCACCCCAAAAGCAGGTGGTGTGGTGGGGGGGAGCCTGGGCACGGCCGTCAGCCCCGCTCTGTTCTCCTGCAGGTTCTACTCACATTCTCACTCCCACCAAATTTCTCATGGACCTGAGGCACCCCGACTTCAGGGACTCCACTAGGGTATCATTTGAGGATCAGGCTCCAGCAATGGAGTGAGCCAAAGAAAACCAAGTAAAGGCAGCTTATTAATGAAAAAAGAAACTCTTCCTCCCCGAAGGGTTTTCTTTGATTCTTCCGGCCCTCCTCTCTCTGGTTGTCGTGTTGGGTCCTGGGGGGTTCTCTGATAAGAAAATGCTTGCAGTTCCTCCTCCCAAGGTGGAAAAGCATCCAGTGTCGCTCCATCCCCCCTCTGCCATGTCTCTTGGCCGGGCCTGGCCGGCTCCTTCATGCCATGAGTGCCCCCCTTGCCAGGGCTGGGGGCGGCGGGTCGGGGTCCTGCCTGCCCAGGGGTGTCCCAGGGCTGGGCAGGGGGATGGAACACCCCGGGATGCTGCTGCTGGAGCAGGGCTGGGGGTTCAGTGCCCGGGGAAGAGCAGGCAGCAGTGGGCACAGGGTGGAGACCCCAGCACAGGCTGCAGGGCTGGAATCCCCAGGCAGCTCAGGTTTGCTCTTGTGGCAGTTGAACCCCTTGGATGGGCAGGAGCCCCCTGAGGTTGTAGACCCCCAGACCTTCTGCTGGGGTTTAGCTGCTGGTGGTTTTCCTGGTGAGACTCCCCATGGCATCCCCTGTGTGCTGGGCTGGCGTGGGCACTGTGGTGGGTGCAGCAGAAGGCAAGAGCCCTTTTCCTCCTCCCTTCTCACCCATCCCCTTCCCAGCCACCCCTCTGATCCCAGGATGCTCCCTGCAGGCTGGGGGACCTGTGGAATGACCCTCCATGCCTGCTGCTCCCTGGGGACCTGTGGAATGTCGCTCCATGCCAGCTGCTCCCCGCTGCCCACCCACATCCCCCACCTCTCCCTCCTGCATCCCCGAAGGTTCCAGTAGTGACCCCTCTGCCACCACCCCCCTGCACAGGCACCTCCCGGCCCCTTCCTCGTCCCGCCAGCTCCATCCATCGCCTTCATCCCTCCCTCTCCCCCCGTTTCCCGTTATCCACGCCCCCACACGCCCCTTCCCCACAGTGCATTTCCCCGCA